GCGAAGCCTGAACTGCACCCACAAAGTCCCAGCTGCACCCACAGCTGCTCCCCATGCCTTGCATCACCGCTGAAGGCCCCGCGCCATCAGATCAGCGCTCATAGGAGTGCGAGCCCCACTGCAAACTGCGCATGCGCTTGTGAGGGTGCCAAGTTGCACACTCCTCCTGAGAATCCTAATGATATGACGTGGAGCGGAGGCAGTGACCACCACTCTTCCACGTCCCATCCCGGTCAGTGGAAAAACTCTTCCACGAAACCGGTCCCTGGTGTCAAAAAGGTTGGGACTACTGTTCTAGAATGTGGTACTCTTCCCTTTTGGGTTACTAACTATATCTTTATGTGATTTCTACCTCGGTTTTTTTAAATCCTTTTCTTAACTGTATATTGATATTAAATTATATTTTCCCATACCTCTTGGAAATAAAATGTTAGCAGAAAATGAAATTGATTTTTAATGCTTATTTGTAAAAATGTATTATTTACTGTGTTTCTTCAAGCAGTTCTGCAGGTTTTGTAGTAGATATAATTCTGGGTACATTTAGTAAGTTGAAGGGTTAAAATACCCAGTGCTGTCGCATATGGCAGTGAGCAGAATCACAGATGTTGATGATACCACGTAATTAGTATTCTTTTATGTAAATGAAGGCTGTCAGCATGTTACCATAGTGTCTCCTCTCTCTGAAGCTGGAATTTATGCTACTTGGTCTCACCAAGACCAAGCAGGATTATTCCATGGCCCTTAGTTAAGAACTGAGAAGAAATCAATACAACGAGAGAAAGAGCAGAGCGAGAGAAAGAGCACACATGAAGAAATGGAAATATCCCTAAAGTAGATTATTTTTTTCTATTTTATTTTTGTTGATTCCCCTTCAATTTTATTTCTGGTGATATAGTTGTGCATTTAGGATCTGCTAATAAATTTGCTGTTTGAGAATTATTGGAATAGTCCAACTAAAAGACATCATATTTTCAAGCTGAAGACTTTTTTGGCACATGATTATTATGTTCTGTCATCTCTCATATGGATATATTTTTTTTAAATAATGAGAGAGATCCAGAAGTTTTTAATCAGAACAAAGACAAAAGTTGAAAAGATTCCATTATCATCTGTAGTAGAATAGTTTAAAATATTGATTATGGTTCTTACCTCCAGTTGATTTAGATTGTAAAAATAAAACTACGGTAATTAAAAAGGCAAAAGCTAATATTTTGTCAAGTTTACTTTCCCCATATGCACATTGCTCCCGGATGTGCAGGACATTCATTTACAGCTGATCTACTTAATGATGTAGAACTGTTCGGACACATTATATTCTTTCCCAATTACACTGTAAGTTTATCAGTTTCAGATATTGGGTACCTGTCACTCTGGATGATGTACATTTTAAGTGGAAGTGTTAGAATTATTGTGACCTTTGAGAATATGAAGGGAAAGCTGTACACATCAGAAAAATATCAAATAGAATTCCTCTTTTTGCCAGAGGGTGTTAGGCCTTGTTCTGAAATAAAGTGGTCAGAGTGTGTGTGAGAGGTGAGTTAATCACATTGTCTTTCTTGAACTGAGCATACCTGAGGTTGTGTTCTCGCTTGTATTTTCTATTTTGTGTGTAGGTTAAGGTGGCTTTTTTCTTTTGTGTCACTTTTAGAAGATTTCCATATCATAATCAGATATGTTTTTCCTCTAGAGAAGCTGGTCTGCTTAGCTTAAATCAGTGTGGGGAGGTGCAAAGTAGCCCTGTGTTTTCCTGAATGGATTTACTCTGCCATATGGCAGGTTAGTGAGTCGCCACGACAGATTTGTAATGGGAAAAGGGCTGTGCAGGAAAGGATGTGCGTGATCAGCAGATTTATAGATCAGAAAATGAAATCAGAAAAAGGAATTTCCAGAGTGCCCTTTCCATTTGACAGCTCTCCATGGAGAGGGTGTGGAATGGTTTTTTAGTGTTTTTCTCTTTTGGCTTTTGGTTGTTACAGTCTATTTTCTCTAGCACAGGAGTTGATTTTGTAAGACATCAATGTTCTGGGTGTTATGTTGCTGTATTCCTATTTATAGAAATATACCCTTTTTTGTAGGATTTGTGCTGTATTTCATATGATAAGATCTTGGTAGCAATTAAATTCCTGTAGACATACCAAGGCTGAAATGGGGATTTGCCAGCCATCAGATTTTGAGTTACAAGAGAAGGCTATTCAGATATGATTTAGTGAGTACTGAATCTTTTGAAGGAAAGAAAACAAAAAGAAAAGCTGAGTGAGCTAAAGATAGTATGTCATAGTATGTTTAAGTCTGTGCTGTTTTAATACTGTAGCCACTGGCCACATGTGACTGTTTAAATTTAAATTAAGTAAAATTATATAAAATTAAAAGTGCAGTCCCTCAGTCTCACTAGCGCATTTCAAGTACTCAGCAGTCACATGTGACTAGTTACTACAGTATTGGACAGCACAGAAAATATTTTCATCATTACAGAAAGTTCTACTGAACAGTATTGTTCTAAGTGGAAGAATTTGAGAAATAAAACTCTTTCTTTGATTTCTGTGTTCTTCATCCCCACATAATTTACTGGATAAATGCAGTGGTTTTAAGGTTTTTATGTGCAAAAGAATCACCTGTAGAACTTATTTAAATTGGAGCTCTCTCCAGACTCTGATTCCTCAGGTCTATAGTAGTAACCAGGAAATCTGTATTTATCACAAGTAGCCTTGGGAATTCTGATGCTGGTAGGTGATTGAGGGACTACATTTTGGAAAATATTAAAGTAGTGAGAAAGTTGGGAACTGCCTATCTCTTGATTTGCCCCTCTTCATTTCTTCATTACTGACTGACTTTCTTTGTCCCCAGTAATTGTTTTTTTTGTTTTTTTTTTTTTTGAGACAGTCTCACTCTGTTGCTGGGGCTAGAGTGCCATGGCGTCAGCCTAGCTCACAGCAACCTCAAACTCCTGAGCTCAAGCAATCCTTCTGCCTCAGACTCCCGAGCAGCTGGGACTACAGGCATGTGCCACCATGACCAGCTAATTTTTTCTATATATTTTAACTGTCCAATTAATTTCTTTCTATTCTTTTAGTAGACAGTGTCTCGCTCTTGCTCAAGTTGGTCTCAAACTTCTGACCCTGAGCGATCCTCCTGCCTCAGCTCCCAGAGTGCTAGGATTACAGGTGTCAACCACTGTGCCTGGCCCCTAGTTATTGGTTTTAAACATCATGTATACCCAAGTTGTAATCTCAATTGGTATTAAGTAGCAAAAGGAAAAGAAATTTCATTTATTTACCATTTAATCTTTTTAATCTATGTGTGTTTTGATTTGGCTGTGCCTTAAGAAAAGCAAACAAAAATGCTTATTTCAGACCGGGCGTGGCGGCTCAGGCCAGTAATCCTAGCACTCTGGGAGGCCAAGGCAAGTGGATTGCTTGAGCTCAGGAGTTCAAGACCAGTCTGAGCAACAGCAAGACCCCATCTCTACTAAAAAAAAAATAGAAATTAGCTGGACAACTAAAAAAAAAAAAAATATAAATTAGCTGGGCATGGTGGCACATACCTGTAGGCCCTGCTACTCGGGAGGCTGAGGCAGGAGAATCTCTTGAGCCCAAGAGTTTGAGGTTGCTGTGAGCTAGGCTGACACCACAGCACTCTAGCCGGGGCAACAGAGTGGACTCTGTCTCAAAAAAAAAAAAAAATGGTTATTTCAGTACTGTTACAGATTGTGTGTGGGGGGGTAATTATGAGAATAGTTTTGACCTCTAACAGTTGAATACCCAGAAGTCTTGGAATTATACAGGAGTAAAAGCAGAAATATGATGCATGATCTCAATAATTAGAAAAGTAATTTAGTAGAAACTAAATACTGATAGTAATTAAAGGAAAAGCACAATCTGACTTGATTGAGGATAGTCTAGGTTGCTTCCCTCTGTATGATTTGAGGATTTCTTATATAGGGATATAGCCTCTGCCATCTAGAATAAGCAAAAAAGGGAAGAATGTTTAATTTGGTCCTGCAGTATATTTATTTGTGTGTTTGGGCAATAGGAGTAGGCCAAAAAGAGCATCTGGCAAACTAACTAAAGGGACTACTACTAGTACATTAAGATTTAGAACTTTTTTGGGTTGACCCCATAATCATGGAACTGCATTTGCTCACAGAAATGAAAAGTGGAAAAGAAATGGAGGTTCACTTTATAAGAGGAATTTTAAATCCTGATATTTAAAAAAAAAAACTGTCAAGGTTCCAAACAATAAAAATTGTCCTTTTAAAATTGTCATCTAGCTTCTTTCCCTTGGAAGAATTGCCCACAAGGTTTCTCTGACGAAAATTTTGAAGCAGCATTATTAGGAAGAGGAAAAAAATTCTCAGTATGTTACCATTGTTTTAAAAAGCATTTTCATATATATCATCAGGAAAATGTGTTGCTTTTCTTTCTTTTGTCTTGGTAGTTTGGTTAAATACTGTAACACCAGTAGCCGCTCCACCTCTTGTCCTAAGTCAGATTTATCCAATTCTTTATTTTAGAAGGTGAACATTTTTCCACACTTTCTACAAGATAAAAATGTTCTTTTCAAAAACACATACATAAAATGTTAACTCAAGTGGAAGCACATAGTCTACCTCTTTAGCTAGAGGTAGAGGACTGTGGAGGACTTTCTTTTTCTTTACCTTATCCATCTCTGCTTTGAAAGACATTGAAGTTGACCTAAGATCGCCTTTTTATTTGAGGTTCTTCGTCTCTCCTTGATATGTGAAGCACCATAAAGTTTCAAATTGTTTCTACCCCCTCCCACATAGTATTTTGTGATTCTCCCTTTTAAAGGAATTTAACTGTCATGTAATTCTCCATCTTTATACCAAATATGCCTTTTAAAAAACTTTCAAAGGACCCAATTTTGAATTGAAAAACGAATGAGTCTTGAGTTGAAACACTAACTGCAAGCGTTTTTAAAGGAAAATGCTTTGCTGACAGTATTTTTTTTTTCTTTTGGGGGCTCTATTGTGCCAGGTTAAGAGAGTGGCGACTTCTGTGAGACATGGATAGATGCAAACATGTAGGGCGGTTACGGCTCGCCCAGGACCACTCCATCCTGAACCCTCAGAAGTGGTGCTGCATGGAGTGCGCCACCACCGAGTCTGTGTGGGCTTGCCTCAAGTGCTCCCACGTGGCCTGTGGCCGCTACATTGAGGACCACGCACTGAAACACTTTGAAGAGACTGGACACCCGCTAGCCATGGAGGTCCGGGATCTCTACGTGTTCTGTTACCTGTGCAAGGACTACGTGCTCAATGATAACCCGGAGGGGGACCTGAAGCTGCTCAGAAGCTCCCTCCTGGCAGTCCGGGGCCAGAAGCAGGACCAGCCCGCGAGACGCGGGCGGACGCTGCGGTCCATGGCTTCGGGCGAGGACGTGGTCCCGCAGCAGCGCGCTCCTCAGGGACAGCCGCAGATGCTCACGGCTCTGTGGTACCGGCGCCAGCGCCTGCTGGCCAAGACGCTGCGGCTGTGGTTCGAGAAGAGCTCCCGGGGCCGGGCGAAGCTGGAGCAGCGGCGGCGGGAGGAGGCGCTGGAGCGCAAGAAGGAGGAGGCGCGGCAGCGGCGGCGCGAAGTGAAGCGGCGGCTGCTGGAGGAGCTGGCCAGCGCCCCTCCGCGCAAGAGCGCGCGGCTGCTCCTGCACGCGCCCCGCGACGCGGCCGGCGCCGCGGCGCCGCCCGCCCCTTACACTCACGCCGCGCGCCCGCCGCCGCGCTCAAGCCGCGCGCCAGCCGGCCGTGGCCCCGGGCGTCACCGGCCTGCGCAACCTGGGCAACACCTGCTACATGAACTCTATCCTCCAGGTGCTCAGCCACCTCCAGAAGTTCCGAGAATGTTTCCTGAACCTTGACCCTTCCAAAACGGAACACCTCTTTCCCAAAGCCCCAACGGGAAGGCTCAGCTCTCTAGCGGCCGGCCAGCAGCTCGGCAGACCTGTCCTCGAGAGCGACAGGCCGAGGCGGTGCGAGCGGAGGGCTCTGCTGGAATGGTGGCGTCTCATCAGCCGGAGCCTGGAGCTCATCCAAACAAGGAGCCGAGCTCGAAGCACATTTCCCTCTGCCGCGAACTGCACACCCTCTTCCGAGTCATGTGGTCCGGGAAGTGGGCCCTGGTGTCGCCCTTTGCCATGCTTCACTCTGTGTGGAGCCTGATCCCTGCCTTCCGTGGCTATGACCAGCAGGATGCGCAGGAATTTCTCTGCGAGCTGCTGCACAAAGTGCAGCAGGACTCGAGTCAGGGCACGCGGTCCATTCTCATCCCCTTCTCCCAGAGAAAGCTCACCAAACAGGTCTTAAAGGTGGTGAATACCATATTTCATGGGCAGCTGCTCAGTCAGGTAGGTGTGTGCCCACCACAACGGAGGAAGGCTTGTATGTTAGTTCGAGCTTCCTATGAATGCTCTCCCCAGATTATTGGGCTAATTAGGATAGCTAACAGTTGCTGTGATTATGCATTTTTGAGGGTGGCCATTGTACCTTTCATTGTCCTGTACATTGTGATGGCTTTGTTGGTGAACTTGCCTACTTCTCCTTCTAGCTAGACTTTTTTTTTTTTTTTTGGAGACAGAGTCTCACTTTATTGCCCAGGCTAGAGTGAGTGCCATGGCGTCAGCCTAGCTCACAGCAACCTCAAACTCCTGGGCTCGAGCAGTCCTACTGCCAAAGCCTCATGAATAGCTGGGACTACAGGTATGCACCACCATGCCCGGCTAATTTTTTCTATATATATTAGTTAGCCAGTTAATTTCTTTCTATTTATAGTAGAGACAGGGTCTGCTCTTGCTCAGGCTGGTTTCGAACTCCTGGAGCAATCCGCCCACCTCGGCCTCCCAGAGTGCTAGATTTACAGGCCTGAGCCACCCCGCGCCCAGCCTCTAGCTAGATTTTTAGTTTAACTTGCCACATCACTTTAGTTTCAGTGAATGTCTTTAACTGTTAATGAAAATATGGGTAATATCATACTCTCATTGTTATAATTAAGTACCCATTGTTGGTATGCCATCCTTTGATCAGTTTTAGGAAACTGAACAAAGTTCCATAGTAGTTTGAAAGAGCTTTCTTCCTCCTTTATATATAAGGAAAGTAAGTGGCTGGGGCATGCCAAAGGCCTCTTTCCTGTTCCCCATTACCTTTCATTTTCTGGATCTTTAGCCATGTAAGGACCTAAGCAAAGATTCATAGCTAAGGCCTTGTGAAAATATGCAGAAAGAAAATTTTTATGGTTAACAAAAGTGGAGGTGGGCAACTTAAGAGATTCAGGTAAAACCTTTACACTGTGCTACTGAGGTTTTGTGTCTTGGTTTTTAGAGTTTTGAAAGAATGGTGAGTGTAAGATGAAAAGAAAGAGTTTATTTAGGCTTTTGTTTTTTAGCATGTGAAAGGGGAATATTAGCATTTCCTGCATCCCCTCTCCTCTTAGGAAGAAAGGTGCATCTCCTTAGGTTATGGGGGAGAGTAGGTTTAATCATAGTACTTTGAGGCTCTACAGATGGAAGGGATTGGTGTAGGGCTGCTTCAAGAAAGAAGGACAAAAAGAGACACAGGGCCGGGTGAGGTGGCTCACGCCTGTAATCCTAGCACTCTGGGAGGCCTTGGTGGGGGAGGGAGGGAGTGATGCTCAAGATCAGGAGTTCGAAACCAGCCTGAGCAAGAGTGAGACCGGTCTCTACTAAAAATAGAAACAAATTAATTGGCCAACTAAAAATATATAGAACAAAAAAAATTAGCCTGACATAGTGGCGCATGCCTGTAGTCCCAGCTACTTGGGAGGTTGAGGCAGAAGGATCGCTTGAACCGAAGAGTTTGAGGTTGCTATGAGCTAGGCTGACACCATGGCACTCTAGCCGGGGCAACAGAATGAAACTCTGTCTCAAAAAAAAAAAAAAAAAAGAGAGACAACTTGGACTCCATGGAAGGATTGAAATCAAGAGGAAGAATGGGAGGGTGAGAGAGAGAAGCAGACAGGGACTTGCAGATTCTCTATCTCACACTGGTTCCTTGAATGATTGCACGACAACTTGCAGTCTGTACTACTGCAGCATTGAATGAAAGCTTGCGTGTACTTTGGGACAGAAGAGAAAAGGGGGTAGGTATAATCTCTGTGCAGTGTGGTTTGTGAATTCCAGCTGCCATCACATGTTTAGAAATGTATATTAGAACTAATATGCTCTAATTCTTTTAAAGTTATATTTATTATTTTAATATTATAATTTTTAAGAAAAATTATACACTTAGTTTTGGTAAAGTTATGTGTTTTGTATAAAGCAAACAAAAATGTATATGGGAAGCAAGGAAGTTATATAATCTGTAAATTAATCTTTTCATTCTAGGTCACATGTGTATCATGCAATTACAAATCCAATACTATTGAGCCCTTTTGGGATCTGTCTTTAGAATTCCCTGAACGCTATCACTGCATAGAAAAGGGGTTTGTCCCTTTGAACCAGACAGAGTGCCTGCTCACTGAGATGCTGGCCAAGTTCACAGAGACAGAGGCCCTGGAAGGGAGAATCTACGCTTGTGACCAGTGTAACAGTGAGTGCTATGTGGAGGGTGCTATGTGGTGGTGGGGGGGGTTGGGGAGACGCAACTGCAACATTAGCTTAAGGTGCTTCTTTTTCCTTTTTAGTCAAAGGTAACACTGATGATATTGAATGGTTCTAAAGCATCTTTTAAAAAAAGATCTTTTTCTCCCATTTCTCTGAAAACAAGCACACATACTTTATGTATTGAAAAACAAAAGCCTAGGAGTTGTGCCTCCTTCGACCCGTCCTGATTGGCATTAGTTATCTTTAGAGGCATTTGAAAGTGTGATTTCTGAAATGGGGACTCTGAGAATGTTATGCTTAGCTTCGTAGTGCTACAGGGCCTCTTCTTAAATTTGTGAACGTAAATTCTGACAGTTCTTATTTAATCTAAATCCAGGTGGCATAGCCTGTTTGAAGGGTGTGATATTAGAAAAGCATGCTTTTGTACTGAATTGGTAGTATTAAAGTCTGTCAGAAGTGATGCTTAAAATTGGTACAATGGGCCCAAGAAAGCAAGTCTTAAGGTGGCAACTTCATGGATATTTTCTGCATTTTTTTTTTCACATACCTGAAAAATTCACATTTCAGAGAGTGTCATAAGGCTTCTGTCTATTATGGCTTTAATGTTAAAGTGGAACTCTCTCCATGTGTTTATGTGGGTATGTTATGCAGTACCCTCCCATCTTGCCATGCTAACACTTAATGCTTCCGCTAACCCAGCATGGACAGAGGAAATGCAGAGCAAATATGTGGAAGCTTGTGTTTGGGTTTTGTGGCATATAAAGATTTAGAAACTAACAATGTAAAATTAATGGATTATAGAGAGACCTAGAAATCAATTTGCAGCCATATAATAGTTTGGGCTACAAGTTTTTAAAAAATCTTATGGTAGCACTTCTTAATATATTTTGCATATCATTTTTTAAACTAGTAAATTTTGGGAAACCTGCTCTGCTCTTTGAAGAATGAGAATAAAAATCAAAAGTCATGCTTGATATCATTTTGCCATTTTAAAATAAAATTTGAAATGTTGTACTTGGTTACTATAGACCCACCTGTCCTGTTCCATTTTGAGATACAGAGGCAGGTGAGTTAATTTGTTTCATTGGAGAAGGATCTGGTTTTGTTTTGTTTTGTTTTTTCCAATAGTGATTCATAAAGCCTTTTACTTGTAAGTAACAAAAGGATATTAACAGCTTTAACTCCATCATTCTTGGATATGATAGATTAGGCAAGAAATACTTGTATTTATTTTTGCAAGAATGGATTGTTTTTCTGGTTGCCAGAAGTGCCAATTTATCAGGATTTTTCTAGGCAGGTGCAAATAATGGCAGGGAAGGAAAGCTATGGTGAGAGTATGAGATGCATTGATCTGTTGCTTGTGAAGTTTCAGAATTGTCAGTCTTTTATCTCTCTGTGTGGCCAGCTTAATCAAATGGAGACAGAACTGATCAATCTCATTTGAATCAGTAATTTCTTTTTCTTTGTGAATTTCATTTTAGGGAAACAAAGCCAGATTCTATATTGTCTTCATTTTAGCTCACATACTCCCTCTGCTGATGGTGGCAGTCACTGCCAGGGTTCTCAGGCAAAGCTGCAGTAATTTTCAAAAATCTGGTGAATAGGAATATATAATAAGGCCAGGCCCTTCTTTGAATTCTGTTCATGCTCCCATATATTGTGACTGCACACTGTAGTAAAAGCTTCCCCTATGGCACCCTCATTCTGATGCAATTTATTATGAGAAGCAACACCTCCACATCGTATTGTCACAGAAAGCTCTTTACGTCATCTGGCTGTGATTTGCTACCTTTCACAAGTGGTACAGACGGGACTGGGAATCAGATGCCAAGCTCTTCAGACACTGAGACCATAGTATCAACAGCTCAAAGACAATTAGCAGGCACTATAGTGGACCACTCATTTTATATTCCCATCCATTTACCAATATAATTAATATAACAGAACAGTCACCAGTAAATGGTTATAGAGAAGGCTTCTGATGGAAATGAAGAAAACTTTATATTTCCATTGTTTATTTGCTGAAATTTAGAAATGCATTTCCCCCACAGAAACAAAATTAGAGTCTGAGCACTGGTTCTGCTTTGGACTGGGTGAATTTAGACACCTCTCAGCTTTGTCCTGCATGTCTAGCAGTATGCTTTTATCCAAGAAACATTTCAAAAACTAGGTATAGCATAAAAATATAGAGCCAGCAAAATTTATTTCCTAAATATTTTCTAATATGCCATAAGCAAGTCATGCTGAAAAAAAATCTGTTTAAATACTCCGTCCTTGTGATTTGAGGAGAAAAAGAAACAAAAAATACTCTGTCCTTTAGTAATCTTATCCTTTTTATCTTTTTCCTACCCTGAAATATATAACATTATTCCCTATTTTACTGGTGAGGAAACTGAGGTTCAGAGTTTTGAATAACTTATCCATTAGCACCATGGTCCCCAACCCCTAAGCCATGGACCACTACTGATCCATGGCCTGTTAGGAACTGGCCGCACAGCAGGAGGTGAGTGGTGGGTAAGTGAGTGAAGCTTCATCTGTATTTACAGCTGCCCCCAATCATTAGCATCACTGCATAAGCCCCACCTCCTGTCAGATCAGCAGCAGCATTAGATTCTCATAGGAGAACGAACCCTAGTGTAAACTGTGCATGCGAGGGATCTAGGTTGTGAGACTGTAATGCCTGATGACCTGAGGCGGTGATGTTAGCGCTGGGGAGCAGCTGCAAATACAGATTATCATTAGTAGAGAGGTTTGACTGCACAATAAATGCAATGTGCTTGGATTACCCTGAAACCATCCCCCCACCCATCCATGGGAAAAAAATTGTCTTCCATGAAACCGGTCTCTGGTGCCAAAAAAGGTTGGGGAACCACTGCATTAGCACACATCTAGCTGTGAGCAGGAAATAGAATTAGGCCCATCTAGTGAAAACAAAAAGCTTTTTAAAGTTATATTATGATATATCATAATTTTAAGTTATCGGCCCATATATAAAGGCCTAGAACCCTAACATATGCTTCTACTCTCTGTGCATGCTGTTACAGTGACCGTTCATTATATCCCATTAATAAAGCCATACTCTCAGGAGTGTACCATTGTAAGTCCATACCACTTTTAGCAGTTGCTGATGGCAAAAGTTTGAAAGATGGCTTTGACTGCATGTAACAGTCAACCAAAATAACAGTGACTTAACTTGAAATATAATTTTATTTTTGTTATATAAAAGAAGTCTAAAAGACATTCCAGGGCTGGCATGGTAGCTGTGTGATCATCAGGGACCCAAGCTCCTTTTGTCTTTCTGTTTTACTATCCTAGTGCAAAGCTTCCATCCTCAAGGTTACCTCGTGGTCCAAGAGGAATTCCAGCAGTAGCAGACAGTGGGAAGGACAAAGGGATGCACCTTACAACTGAGCCAGCCCCTTTTAAGTACCCATCCCAAGAGTGCCACACAGTCATTCCTTTCATCTTAGCTAGGACTTCCATGGCCATACCATGCAGGCATGTGAAGCTGGGAAATGCAGTCTGAAAGAGGGTCACATTGCTGCCCCAAATAAAATTGAGGTTCAAATATTGAGAAACAAGGAGAATGCATATTGAGTGATAAGTCATTGTTTCTATAGTAGCTAGAAAAGAATGTGACTCCTCACAACCTATGTCTTATACCTTCCCAAACCATCTAGGCAAACGACGAAAATCCAATCCAAAACCCCTTGTTCTGAGTGAAGCTAGAAAGCAGTTAATGATCTACAGACTACCTCAGGTCCTCCGGCTACACCTTAAAAGATTCAGGTGAGCATGCTCTGGGAGTCCCAGATGGCTGTGAGCTATGGGGGAATAGCTGCTTCAAAGGCTTTCTTGAGAGCAAATGTCTTCTTTGATGTTAGGATGGGGAGCTTATTCCCTTGAGACATTGTGCTTTCCATGGAGATAAAATGGTTCATATCCAGTAAGGCATGTTGATGTTGGGGCCCAGCAGGACTTGGCTTCTGCTCTCATGGCCCTGTTTAATTGTCTCACCTGCACTAGGTGTCTGTGCTTGAAGATTTTCTTCAGGAAAATTGCTTGAGGCCAGGAATTTGAGACCAGCCTGGGCAACATAGCAAGACCCTATCTCTAAAAAAAAGTTTTTAAAAAAAAATTAGCCTGGCCGGTGCGGTGGCTCACGGCTGTAATCCTAACACTCTGGGAGGCCAAGGCGGGCAGATTGCTTGAGGTCAGGAGTTCAAAACCAGCCTGAGCAAGAGTGAGACCCCAACTCTACTAAAAATAGAAAGAAATGAATTGGCCAACTAATATATATATAGAAAAAATTAGTGAGGCATAGTGGCGAATGCCTGTAGTCCCAACTACTCAGGAGCCTGAGGCAGAAGGATTGCTTGAGCCCAGGAGTTTGAGGTTGCTGTGAGCTAGGCTGATGCCAGGGCACTCACTCTAGCCTGGGCAACAAAGCAAGACTCTGTCTCAAAAAAAAAAAAATTAGCCAAGTATGGGGGCATGCACCTATAATCTCAGTCTCTTGGGAGGCTGAGGTGGAAGGATCAGTTGAGCCCAGGAAATAGAGGATGCTATGATTGCACCACTGCACTCCAGCCTGAGTGATAGAATGAGCACCTGTCTCTATTAAACGAAAAAATGTCTAGCCTTACTTGGGCTTATGTAGATCCATCTTCAGGATGAAGTGTAAAAATAATCTGTGAAAAGAAGGGCAAGCAGTAAACTACAAAAAGATTGTTGCTTGAATTGCTTGTTTAAGGATCTCTAGGTTCAGAATGCTTTGTGAAACATTCACAGCAAATATATGTGTACAGTGATCACTGCCATTTTATTAATAGGAAAACCAAAGCCAGAGGTTAAGTTTTCTTGGTTCTCTGCTTTACCAACCTCTACCTCTGAATGCGTATACAAGTTTTTATTAGTAAGAAGTTTATATCCATGTTCTAGGTGGTCTGGCCGTAATCATCGAGAGAAGATTGGGGTCCATGTCGTCTTTGACCAGGTATTAACCATGGAACCTTACTGCTGCAGGGACATGCTCTCCTCTCTTGACAAAGAGACCTTTGCCTATGATCTCTCCGCAGTGGTCATGCATCACGGGAAAGGGTTTGGCTCAGGACACTACACAGCCTATTGCTACAACACAGAGGGAGGTTTTTGGGTCCACTGCAATGACTCAAAGATGAATGTATGCAGTGTCGAGGAAGTGTGCAAAACCCAGGCCTACATCCTTTTTTACACTCAAAGAACAGTGCAGGGCAATGCAAGAATCTCAGAAACCCAACTCCAAGCTCAGGTGCAGTCCAGCAACAACGATGAAGGCAGACCACAGACACTCCTCTGACTGGGAGGCATGTATCAAAGACTGACTTGCTTTTAAACTATTGGTGTCCATACATCTTTCCTCTTGTAGGAAGTAAGGCTTACTGCAGGAACAGATTACTAGGTTTGCCTCACTGGGTCTTGAGTAGAAGGTTCCAGGTGATTCATGTCCTACTATAAATTTTATAGTTACTTTCTTTTGAAATTGATTTGGAAATTCCCTCCTTTCATAAAAACAAATCAAAAGGAATAACTTCTATTCATCAGTTGCTTGTGAATATAAAGGGATCTAGATGAAGGAAAGGGGGTAAATTGATCATATCCATGCAGGAAAGCAGCCATGTTTTCTCTCCATTGTGCGATTCCCTTGCTAATCAAGACCTCGTTAGAACACCAGAAGAACCCTCCAGATGTGAGCAGCCCTGGATAAAGCACATGAGGGTGGCCCTGGGCTGGCAGCTTGCTAGATAGGATTGGTTCCAAGGTGGGAGATGAAGTCTAAGGATTTATCCCCACAAAGGAAGTAACCCTCAAGGGTTAAAGACTTGTGTACTTCCCTTTTTAAGGGCTGGCAGTTGAAGTGAGTGAGATGCATGGAGCAAATTACCCCATGCAAAATGGGAGGGTTTTCATGTGTTGTACCCTCAGTGGCTGCTGCTGTAATTTAATCATTTTAAACCTCTTGAGACTGGCATGAATACTCCATTCTAAAAAAGGGGCAATTCATATAAAGAAGCAATAGACTCGTGTATGTTCTTTGTTGCATGCTGAGCCAAAGGGCACTTCTAGCCATCCCTGTTCTAAAGCAGATTCCTGGTGCAGGTCTAGGGCAGGCACATGATTTGGTTTAAATTGGTCCTTAGATCAGTGGTCTGAGGCTTTCTCAGAACTCAGTCGAGGGTGGGCAGGGATAGTTGGTGGTCCAGGGCTTATTTGAATGCCTGTCACCTGTTCTCATCTTGGTATATAGCACACAGCTTCTTAGCCTACAGCTTTCTTGCTCCTGGAGAGCTAGAACATCCATGTTCACAAGATTTGGTAGTTTTTGCTTTCCCAGGATATGGGAACTGCTTAGGAATCTAACCCCTACATGTCCGGACAGTTTATTGCTGATGGCCTTGGCCTGTTTCCTCCCAAATCTGATAATCCCTATTGTTGCTTTACCTCTCTATACTCAATCTATCAGAGAAAAAAGCAAGACTGCCCTTTTACTCCAGTGCTAGTGATATACATCTTTCTTTTTAAATTGGCTCAGTTTCTAAATAGAATGAAATTGCCTACACAAAACCTGCCCATCAGGCACCACTGAGTTTCCCTTATTTTTTTAATAGACACTGTCCCTGAGGATGAATTCCCCTTCTTAATCCTTCACTTACTTAGACTTGCCAGTGAAACTGAAAGCAAACCCTAACTCTCGTTGCTGTGGTTGCTGCAGTGAGCCTGAGCCTGTCACTATGAATGCTCATCTTTTGACTGAGTATATCATATTAATGTTTGAATTCAGGTAGAAGTACAGTTGTCACTTGAAGGGAGTAGATGTGGAAGGGAGTTTGGGGAGGGGTGGGAAGTGGGGAAAGTGAGGCTAAAGAATGAGGGTCATAGCTTTAGCAATGTTGATGAGCCACATTTCCCGAACAGATCTGTAGCATTTGCTGTTGACCTCTTTTTGAGATGAACTCTCCCATAGGACCTGCCAGGTAGCACTGAGACATGGAGGAAATTCAGACAAAAAATGGCCCACCCTGATAGGGAAGGAGTTGACTATATTTTAAATTAAACTTGCTTTTCCAACACTGTGAGGTTTCTGTAATATTTAGCTTTTATTTGGAAGCGATAGCGTATGGCATTTTTTATGCTGTTTGGTTTATATTTTCTACTGCAGGCTTCTTTGTATAAGCTTTGCCTGGGCTCACCCTCTCCTGGACACTGTTTTAAAGTGTCACAGCTGCCCATGCTATCAGAGGCTCTGATGTGAAGCCGTATTCTTGAGATCCACGTTTTAAAGTTGGCATGATTGGTAATGACTTTTTGTGGCAATAGAAAAGCCCAGTAACTAAAAAAAAACCAAGGAGAGTAAAACAGAAAGGAAACTATCAATTGTGCCTCATCTTTCATTGAATCCTATATTTATTATTCTAAAAAAAGAAAAACTTACAAAATAGAGAATACTAGAGAGCATCTACTTCACCCCTCAGACTAAGGGGGAATACTTATTAATAAACAAACATTTAATGGAAAATTAAAAGAGCTTCAAATTTAATTTTTAAAATAGTTTTATACCAAATATTGTAAGGATTATTAGGCAGAGTAAGGACTTTGTGAAATAAGTGCTTAACTTAGCTGAATACCCATGTATCAAATTGATAAAAGAAACGAACATCAGAGTCTCCACTGAGCTACACACTCATGGAGGTGCCCATTGCAGTCACAGACACCTCAGGTACCCAGAGGCAGCAGCACTAGACACTTAGGAAGTTAGTATTTTAGGAGATTTTTATTAAAGAAAAGAGTTCCCTGCTGCATAAGCCAATGTTGTGACAGAAATGTCCCTTTGCCTTTAATTTATTTACATATTGGAAGTAGATGAATGTCTCAGTTGCATCTTACATTAAATTGAAACATTCTAAAGAGAAGAAAATAAGAACCAGTAAGACGCTGACTTAGATGCTGCCAAATCAAACCCAAGGTCTCCTAACTGAACCTGAATGGGCCTGCTCCTCTCCCAGGGCAAGTAGTTAAGAGTCCTCTTCCAGGAACCCTTTGTAGTTGGCTGGCGTGTTTACTTGCTGCTGTAGCCAGCCAGGATGAGTGCATCCTGGCCATCGAAAAGGATTTTTTTTTTTACCTCAAACTAGCCTGACCCTCATACTTGTGGTTGCCTCTGAGATGAGCATCCGTACTAGTGTAAAAAAAATTAGGAATGCCCTTGGCAGCCAGATATCGAAGCTCTTATTACATGGTGGCAGAGCTCTTGCCAGCTTTGATCCAGCTCCTCTCAGGCTGGGTGGGGGCAGTGCCACACTGTAAAGAATTTCCAGATGTCTCTCAAAATGTCCTGAATAAAATTGGAAACTGTAGAAGTGTTAATGTGTCCTATGGACTCAATAGCAGAGTTTATTTTTGTTCTTAATGGCAAGGTTTCTAGAGTCAATGATTGTATGAGTTCCTACTCTGGCTATGCTTACAACTCCATCCAAGTACAATGGAAGAACCAATGAGGTGGGTTGGCTGGCAGTGGGGCATGCCCTGGCATAAGCCCTAGAGAGTTCAACAGTAGTGCAGAATGAAAACTTGGTTGGGGATGAGGGGTTGGGGGTGGGAGGTTGGAGGTGGGTGGGCAGGGAGGGAGAAATGGAGTTTGTTTTACTTACTGATAAAGCTTTGTGAACTAATTTTATACAATTCATAAAATTTGGTGCCTTGTACCCAATTATTGTTTGCATGGGATCGAAAACGTAAAGGGAAAAGATTCCTTCTTGTCATTTCAAGGGGCAAATGGGTCTGTGTAGTGTTTAAAGGACATTTGGTATCACAGACTTTTAGACAGCATTTCATATCTTGTGTGTGAATGCAAATTATTCTTACCAGCAAGTTCTAAAATTTTATTGTAATGTCCAGATTCTTTGTATTTGTGATTATCCATCATATGGCTGCTTTTCAAGGCAGACTGTGTACCCCATTGTTTTTTTACCACCCTTTTCATGTTCCAAACATTAATTCAGGCCTTTTCAAATCAGGCTGGGAGGCTATCCCTTCTTAAATGTACACTATATCCCTATCTGGGACTATATTTTATGAACAGAAGGGTTGCTTTTCCAGCTGGTTGGGAGAGCACAAATGTTCAGAGAAGGCTTTTTAGTCTTTATCAAAACAATAACTAATGTGGGCAACATATGGTAGAAGCCAAACAAAAATGGTTCCTCCTGAAGTGGTACCTTCATTGGTTCTGAAGTTCTTTTGCACAAAAGTGTCAGGAAGTAGTGGAAAAAACAATTCCCGCCCCCCTCCCCTCCCCCACCGTGTGAAACTTTAGATTGTAAGGCAAGCCAGTGCACTGTGTAATTTGCAAAGGTAATGATGCAAAAGAGAAGGCACAAAGACCCTGTACCAGGTCCCCATACCGTTTGCCTAGGAGGTGCTGACTAGGATGGTGCCCAGTGACTGTGGAAGGTGCTAAGACCCAATCTGTTCACTGCAGGGCTGTTTACAGCCTGCCTGTTTTACTCCAACCTTAAGGTTTCCACTGAGCTAATGAGGCTTCCCCAAAGTGTGTTTAAAAAGCTCATCACTCAAAGCACACTTGATAATTGGGTCCCTCAACCTAGTTACTCAACAAATTAGGTGAAGAGGTGGTACCTTTGGGGTAAAACTTGCCATGGCCACTTAGTTTTTTAACCAGGTAAGTATGCATCTCTCTGTAGGTTCAGATTCTTTTAAAAGACAGCACTAAAGCTGAAAAGCACCTTCTAAATAAGACTGTGAATTTACTTTATATCTTACAAGTTTAGTAACATTCTCTTGATTTAGGGCTATGACTTTAACCACTATATTCATGTTCAGCCCACACACTGCTCTCAGTACACCATAGATACTATAGCACTGTGGTAAGCAGTCATTTTTGTGAACTCTTTCCATACTTCTGCTGGCATATTTCATTTAAAATCTAACTAGCTAGAGATTTTCATAGTACTAAGTGTTAACTACCTATGGCTGAAAAGTGACAGGATGTACAGTTAACTTCCCTTGGGAAGAATGTTGCATTGGCAGTGATGAAAGCTGGCACTTTCATTTATAGAATCATTTATCAAAATTTTGGAAATTGTAGATTTGGTGGTTTTATTTATAAATTTGTATCACTCTGAATAATCAAGCCAGTTTAAGTGAAACTTTACCCAACCAGCATTATAGCTTTAAAACCCAACCGACAATAAACATTATTACTTGAAGCCAAGTCATTAAAATTTGAGTTAAGTTTGAATTTTGCTTTTGGAAGGTAACATTTCTTAATTCTTGCTGGATTTTGATTTTCAACTCTGGAAATTTCTATCAAAGAAAACTTCATAATTATGAGTAGATCAGGTGGCAGATTTTAAGAATCTAAGTTTCATTCCTATAAAGAACAGGAGGTGCTGGTATTTCTTGTCTTGGAAGTAGTCTGATGCAGGTCTGATAGATTTAGCATCTATCTATGGCCTAAAAGTTTCCTCCTTTGGCTGGGTGCAGTGGCTCATGCCTGTAATCCTAGCACTCTGGGAGGCTGAAGCGGGCGGATCACTCAAGATCAGGAGTTTGAAACCAGCCTGAGCAAAAGCAAGACCCCATCTCTACTAAAATTAGAAATTAATTGGCTCTCTGAGGGTCAAGGGCGGGCAGATTGCTTGAGTCAGGAGTTCAAACACAGCCTGGAGCAGAGATGGACCCATCTCTACTATAAATAGAAAGAAATGATTGGCCAACTAATATTATATATATAGAAAATTAGTGAGGCATGGTGCCGATGCCTGTAGTCCCACTACTCAGGAGCCTGAGGCAGAAGGAATTGCTTGAGCCCAGGAGTTTGAGGTTGCTGTGAGCTAGGCTGATGCAGGCACTCACTCTAGCCTGGGCAACAAAGCAAGACTCTGTCTCAAAAAAAAAAAAAATTAGCCAAGTATGGGGGCATGCACCTATAATCTCAGTCTCTTGGGAGGCTGAGGTGGAAGGATCAGTTGAGCCCAGGAAATAGAGGATGCTATGATTGCACCACTGCACTCCAGCCTGAGTGATAGAATGAGCACCTGTCTCTATTAAACGAAAAAATGTCTAGCCTTACTTGGGCTTATGTAGATCCATCTTCAGGATGAAGTGTAAAATAATCTGTGAAAAGAAGGGCAAGCAGTAAACTACAAAAAGATTGTTGCTTGAATTGCTTGTTTAAGGATCTCTAGGTTCAGAATGCTTTGTGAAACATTCCAGCAATAATATGTGTACAGTGATCACTGCCTTTTATTAATAGGAAAACCAAAGCCAGAGGTTAAGTTTTCTTGGTTCTCTGCTTTACCAACCTCTACCTCTGAATGCGTATACAAGTTTTTATTAGTAAGAAGTTTATATCCATGTTCTAGGTGGTCTGGCCGTAATCTCGAGAGAGATTGGGGTCCATGTCGTCTTTGACCAGGTATTAACCATGAACCTTACTGCTGCAGGGAATGCTCTCCTCTCTTGACAAAGAGGG